CTTAATATCCCAATCTATAAAGAAAAAAAATTATAGATAAATATTTATAAAAAAGAAAAGAATTTTCTGTTTAATACTTCCGTGAGCAACATGTAAATCTGTATGGCATACACCACAAGCAATTGTTTTAATTAAAATATTATTTGGTCCAAGTTTTGGAATACCTACATGTTTGATTTCCAGTAGCTTTTTAAAAGTTGTGATCACGGCTGCTTTCATCATTTTGTTTTTACTTTTAATCTAAAAAGGAAAAATTATCATAACTTATTCATAAAAGTACATGCATATTAACTAAAAAAATACATTGTTTATTTTCTTCGTCAATCAATACATTAAACAGCTAATGCGTTATGCATTTCTGCGCAATAAAAATACTCTTTGATTAAAAATCTTCAAGAGACACCGTATTGCGTTCGAACATAGAAAAAAACTCGACGAACTATCAAGACAATCGAAGAAGAACGAATGAGAACGCACCAACTATATATTAAGCGGCCCTGTACTTCCATCTTACAATGATTCAGAGATACTTTTTTTCATACTATGGGCTATTTAATTTCAGTCTGAATTTATCAAATAAAAATAATACTTGATTTCAAACTGAAACGTGAGTCTAGGAGTGAGGGGGGGGAGTGACTGAGGGTGTGGGTGTTGGTCTGGGACCCAAACACACACCCACACCCATGGTGCGGGTGTGGGCGCGCGAGTGAGGGTGAGGGTGTGCTTGTGGCTTTGTGTACTATAGGCTTTAGTCCCCTGCACAAGGGACTAAGCGGGGACTAAGCTTTTTGTGGGGGGGACTAAGGGGGACTAAGCTTTTTGTGGGGGGGACTAAGGGGGACTTTGCAGGACTAGGGGGGACTAAGGGTTTTTAGTGGGACTACGTAGTATCAAACGAGAAAAGTTTGATTCGGAAGAAATTGGTGCGGTTTTTTTGATTTTAGAATTCAGTTTGAAATAAAAAAGCCCATAGACTCCTTTTTTTACGCTTATAACCGAAACCCAGGTCGAACAGGTCTGATCGTAAACGACTGTATAAGGACACATGACGAAATACGTAAATGGTTCAGTATTATGATCGTATATCTCCGCGTCGTATACGGAGAAAAAAACGATTGTTTATGCTCCTCATAGACGGATTTCAAATACGATCACCGTCTTGCTCCGCATCTCTGCGTATATAAATGTCTTTCGTCGTATACGTTCACGGCGATATACGATCATAATACTGGATCATGTAAACCGCCAAAATATGACCGTAAACGGTCATATAGAAATCATATATGGTCGTTTACAGGCGTATTATATCGTTCAGTATTACGATCGTACATCTCTGTGGCCATATACCCAGGTCAAAAAACCAGACGTCAGACCGTGCAAGATCCAATAAGATCTTATTCATAGGGGCCATTCGGAAAACACGTGATCAGGTAGGGAATCCCGAAAAGAGCACAGTTGATCACTAGGGGGGAGGGCAAGTCTACTGATCACGTGATCATATTTATGAATTATTTCGTTTTTTTTTGTATAGCACTTTTTCGAAAATATGGCTCATCCCTGAGGGGGAGTAGGGGGACCTTTGCGAAGCTACCCCCTCCCCCCCCGTCATCACTTTTTTTACAAAATTGGAAAAATTTGCAGGTGTTTTTAGAAATTTTTTATATTTGGGGGAAGGGTACAAGATTTTTTCTATGATCTTGTTACAAGATCAGACAATATCTTATGTGTTCGTTTTTTTAAAGATTTCGTCAAATTCTGAATGCAAGATATCAGCAAAAAATCTTCCAAGATATAAAGATTAAGAAGCTTATAGGGACAGACTGAACGATTCTTGTCAGATCTTCACAGATCATATAAGACCCATAAAAAAAGAAAATTACACCAGTACATGATGTAGATCTTGCATGCCCTCTAGAAAAAAAAAGGTGTTGTATTGAACCTTCTCAAGGTTTTAGCAAAGATCCTGAACCTTTTAAGGTTCTAGATTTGGATACCATGTTCTGAATCTTTTTTTTGTTCAGTTTTAGCCAGCAAGTATAGAATCCTAAAAGATTCCAGACTTTCCGGCTAAACCTTTTTCCAGTTCTAGAACATGTATGATACGGACTCTTATCCGACAAACTATAGTGAAATAAGCGAAACAATAGCAAATATTGAATCATTGGTCAGTTCATTTTTCAGAATGGGCTACACATAGCCCTATCATCAATAGATAGAGAAAATTTTTTTTCTATCGAATTGTGTGTTTGGTTTTTTTTTTAAATTGGCATGTAATTACAATAACGTCATAAAATATGAGATGGTAACGACATCATTTAGTGTATTTCGTTCTATTGAGTAAAATCTCAAAAACTTGCACTGAGGCTAGACAAATGAACACCTGCTTAGCTTATTCACATTACTTTGGCTCAAGAATTCTGCAGATTTGACTTAGAAAAAAGTGTCTAGACGGGTGGCGCCCTCCAATATGTATATTTGATATTGATTCGATGATTCATCGGACGATGGGCACACATACATACTATTATCCTTTTCAAAAAACAATAGACGTGGGTGTTTTTTGAATAACTCGAGAACGCAAACAGCTAGAGACCTGCGGTTTTCACCAATCGAAAGAGGCGACAAGGGGACGTCTTTTTCTCTAATATTGTATAAGACGAAATCATTTTAAAATCAGTGATTTCTGCAAACCATCGAAAAAATGTGTAAAAACGGTCTGTCATTCCGATGAAATTTTGATTTTGACATGTGATCTAGATAAAGAAGCTTCAGATCTATAGTTCAAGATATAATTTGAATGATTATCTTTCCATATCCTAATGTTGAGTAAATAAAATCGTCTGTTTACTCGCACGAAAACTGTGGATTTCTTTGAATTTTTAACCAAATTTTCTTACTTTTTCTCAAAATTTCATCTGAATGACAGACCGTTTTTACACATTTTTTCGATGCTTTGCAGAAATCACTGATTTTAAAATGATTTCGTCTTATACAATATTAGAGAAAAAGACGTTCCCTTGTCGCCTCTTTCGATTGGTGAAAACCGCAGGTCTCTAGCTGATTGCGTTCTTGAGTTATTCAAAAAACAGCCACGTCTATTGTTTTTTGAAAAGGATAATAGTATAGAACAGAGAGCGAAACCGAATCGAATCGAATCAAATTTTTTCTCGCTTATTCAGTTGACAGCGGCCTATTTTTTTTCTCATATATCGTTATGGACGAGTGCATTTGAATTGATAAAAAAGATAATTGGTAACAAAGAATATGTTATCTTAGTTATTTCTTTTCTTTTTCAATCGAAACTGCCTGTTAATATAAATGATTCTATTTTAGATTTACATCACGAATACTTATGTTAAACGTTGATGATACTTTATCATCTGCTTCATCTTGTGTAAGAGTGTGGACTACGTCTTCACTTACATCTACACCCGTTCACATCCAGCTGTCATTGTGAGGAGGCAATATTGTTGAAAAACTCATAGTGCGTAAACATAAATAACAGATGTTTTTTGAACACAATCTAAACCGAATCGAATATAGTTTTTTAAAATCTAGAACGAATCGAATCTAAGTACAGCTGAGTCGAGTCTGATCGAATGCAACTTTTGCCATTCGTTTCGATCTCTGGTATAGAACCAAAACGAGATTCAGAAAATGGTACCGAAAAAGATTCAGTATGACTCCTTTTTTTTAGAGAGTGTTCTTATCTGATTGTGTATAGACTCTTCTGTTCTCTCACTTATTCGAGAATTCTTGATTCGATTAGTTTTACCATGAATAACAGTACTTAAAAAACAGGATCGAGCCGTATACCTAATTTCTTTCTTCTTTTTCTATACTAATAATAGAGAAAACAGTTACTTGTACTTCTTATTTTTCTGTAGTGATAAATCTGCAAGTCCTAATTTTCATTTCTTATTTTTCTATATTAATCATATAAAATACCCTACTTTTTATTTTTTATTCTTCTATATTCGTAATATAGAAAATCTTAATTTTTATTTATTTTTGTATATTGGAAATATAGAAAGCCCTATCTTTTATTTTTCTATATTGACAATATAGAAAATCTTAATTCTTATTTCTTATGTTTCTTTATATAAATAGTACAGAGAGTAAATCTTTTTATGCATGAGTTTTTCTGACTATTATGTTATGGATTTCATTGTCTAATGGTAACTGCCAATGAAGGTACCTCTGCATTAGGTGTGTTAGTTAGACGGATCTTGGCTATGCGAAATTAACTTGAATCATAATTGACAGGGGAAGTTAGAAAATAACGAATAATGTATACTTCTAAAGAAATCAATTAAAATCTTACCGTGCGATTTTATATAATCATAGAAGAGATTGTATTGCACGAGCACATCAGAAACTTGTTGTCAGAATTGACATCAGATGTCTGAGACGACGATTTTGTGTATGATTTTTCGTATGATCTTGTATGAGCATATACGATTCTTGAGTAAGATCAGATACGATCATACAAGAATTCATGCCTGATCTTACTGTCTGATTTCTTGACCTGGATATTAATAAAGAAAAATAAAAAATAAAAATTCAGATTTTCTGTATTGTCAATATAGAAAAATAAAAAATAGGATTTTATATATTATCAATATCGAAAAATCAAAAATAAAAATAACTGTTGTCTGTACTATTTATGTGGAAAAATTAAAAAAAACTTACGTTTAGAACTCGTTCTTGTTTTCTAATTACTTTTCTTCATAATAAAACTAATCCAATCAACAATTCTCGAATAAGTAAAAGAACAAGACAGATCATACACTATCAGATAAGTGCAGACAAGAACTGCATTATGGAATGTTGTATATTTCGTTTGTTTCATGAATCTTATACGATCTTATGTGATCTGACAAGAGTCATGGAGTCGGTTATTATACGTCTCTTAATCTTGGAATCTTATAAGATTTTCGCTTGAGTCGTACAATAGGGATCATACGAAATCTTGCAAACAATGTTGAGTATATACAATCATGATTGATCTTTGCGTAAGACCCTATAGAAAATCTTGTATGAATATGCTCTTACAGAATGTGATATGACCTGACGTCTATGTTTTTTTCCCAGGACCCCATTACTGCCCTATCTAATTATGTTCTTGTCTTTCCCATATTCTGCTTGATGTTTTTTTCTTTATCAATACTTTTTTTCTCTTGTCGCAATAGAATAAGCATAATAACTCGCCATGTGATGACGACTTCGCATCAATACCTATTGGTTGATTCGTATCTTGACGTTAAATAATAGGCCTTGCATCAATTCGACTTTGCTCTACTTATGTTTCAACCATGTGGCCTTGTTTACATGTCTTAGCAGTCGTTTTCTCCTTTACATCAGTATAGTCGTTCTTTTCTTAAGGATAATATTTTGATATTATCCTTAGACAATACATTGTTTGTTTTTCTGTGTTAGATCTAGATATATTTCAGCATATCTTAGTTGAAAATGATCAGCTTCAGTTCTCGATGTGGTTCACTATTTCAATCCGTCTTGGCAAAAGATATTACAATAAGTTTAATTTTACATTTTATATTATTCAGTTATTCTCATTGAATTAATCTAGATGTGCCGATAGGCACAATACGCCTACAATATATGATCCTTGTACGATGTCATCAATGTTAGATGTCATCCTTGCATAATGTAACTCTTGCGCGATATAACCTTCTTAGCTGATGAACTCTCGTTCTTGTTTGGTGTTGTAATATCGTTCTCGTTTTCTCTTGTGTAACCTCGGACATTCTACACGTATATTTGTATCTTCTCTTCTCTTAGGTGACCTCGAACGTTCTATATAGATATGTATATCTTCTCTTCTCTTGTGTAGCCGAGTAATCTAACGTAACTAGTGTATAAGGATGTGTAAAAGAAAAGAACAACACAACTGGATAATGTAGTAGAGGAGTTAACATCGTACACTGAGAATAGCGATAACGCTACTCTTCCAGTTTGCCATTGTGATCACAATAAAATAAATGCTGCAGCAGTAACGAAAAACTAACCATCTATCTCTCTCTTTCAATTTTTCGTTACACTAGACACCATATTGGATTCGATGTGCTAGTACTTCATCAAAACCAGTAAGTTAGTTTTAATTTAATTGAATGAACTATTTTTCTGTTTGATTATAATAGGCAACCGTAAAAAATTGGATTCATGGAAAAGCTGTCGAATCAAAAACTAATGATTGGATTGAAATGTACAATCCTGTAATTTATTATGTATTAAACATGAGAGATGATAGTTCGTTCTTTTAGGTAACAGATGAGGTTATTGGTCTAGTACCAAAAACTACTCTAGCTGAAATGAATGAAGCTGGGTGTGGGTGTGGGTGTATGGGTGTGGGTGTGGGTGGGTGTGGGGATGTGGGTGTGGGTGGTGTGGGTGTGGGTGCGTGCGGGTGTGGGTGGGTGTGGGTGTAGGTAGGTGTGGATGTGGGTGTGGGTGTGAATGGGTGGATACGAGTGTCAGTTTATGATATCTCTTCATTTACACGCACACCGACACCCACACCCCACACCCACCCACACCCACACCCACACCCACACTCCACACCCACCCTTTGTATAGGAGGTGATATCTGTGGAAGAAGGTTTCCAAGTTTTTTTGCAAACACCTATACGTCAATACAATCATTAACATGACTAACCGATTAACAGCTAAAAATAATGTTTTTCTAAATTAAGAATTTAAATAAAAATTAACAATAACAGTCCTTTGATTTATGGATTTCTAGCCATTGAATCTGAGATTTGAGAATTTAAATAAAGTTGAAGGGAATTCCTACCTGATAAGAAAAACAATCTAGCAAAAAGAAAAATTTTCATCGTTATCTTTCTGTTCGGTGGTTTGTTAAATATAGCCAAAACTACGCTGGAGATCATTTGTCAACTGATTGTACACACCATTCAGTAACTTTTTTAATGAAAAACAGATTTTTTTTCTTTTCTGATTTGATTCTTGGTCGAATCAGTCTGAGAACATACACGACCAATGCCAACTGTATGAATATTTTTGCTAAAAAGAAAACAGTACTCGTCTATAAACAAATTCGACGACAAAATAATTTATTCAATCTATCCCTGACGACAGCAATTATAAAGCAAACAGTATGTATACTTCCGTTTCGAGAGGATTGTCAATATGAATAAAACATGAGTCAGTCTGATGTGCATCTTGTTGACCTACCAAATGAGACATTGCTTCTTATATTAAAAAGACTTGATAATATTAATGTACTGCATTCATTAATGGATGTTTTCAATGAACAAATTGACAGCCTATTACAAGATAATATTTTCACAAATACTCTCAATCTGATTTTAGGTCATCAACTGATGATGGTGATGATATTTCTTCCATTGATGATCAAATATTTGATCGTTTTTGCATTGATATATTACCAAAACTTTATCATAATGCCAAACATCTTATTCTTGAATCAATGTCTATAGGATGTATTCGTCGTGTTGGCAAATATCCAAATTTAACATCTTTCAGATTGTTTAGTTTCGGTCAACATATAACTTTAAATCATTTCAAAGGTAAATATTTATGTATCCAAAAATCAAAAAATATATATAATAACGTTAAAATAAAACTAGATATATAATTTGATTGTTTTTGTTTGGTTTATATGAATCTATCTTTCAACGTATTCTCAAATATCAAATAACAGAACTTATTCTCGAAAATAATGATAATTATAGTAGTGTAAAGGAAAGAATATCATTAAAAGAATATACTAAAAATGTCTATATACTTATATTGACTTTATTACAAAACCTTAAGTATTTAAGTATTATTGGATTATTCATGATCAATTATCCACCATTGTCAATATGTGATTTACCACCAACTACTTTTCCTCTTCGATTGTTACAAAATGATGTATCAATGCAATCAGTTTAGATGATCATCTTTATTTACTTGATGTTCCTCTTAAACAATTAACTACGTTGAGCGTGTGCGTGGGTATGGGGTATGGATGTGGTGTGGGTATCGGTTTCAATGTTTTGACATTCACATCACACACCAACTCCCATCCATACTCCACACTCACCCACATGCAGCCACATCCACTATGTTATTAGATTTATGCTGCGTCAGAGTCTTTCACGTTGCTACTCCTGAGAAGAAAAAAATAAATCGTCTTCAAATGTCATTTATTTTAGATTATGTATTGCCTAGAAAACGATATAGCTCGATAGCAATAATGTGCTGATGAAAGTTAGAGTTTCTTTCTTCCTGCTCCTCAGCATTCGTCATCTTTGTAGGTGTGAGCAGATTTCATCTCGTACTCCGTCATTGCCTTCATATTGATGAAAAACAATCACATGATCTGGTTCACAAAATGCAGCGTCAACTTGACGGCAGAGATTGTTTGATTTATCGAGACTGAATACAAGCAATTAAGAGAGAGAAAAGAAGAACGAAGAACAGTAAAAATTTTTCGTAGCAAAAAATTGCGAGTTAAATAAATAATAATTGCAGACACACGTGAGTTTCATACTTATCCATTTCTCTGGTAGGTGAGTGTCAACACAAACGAATAGAAGTTTTGTTTCTATGTTGGATCTTTTCATTACTGTGCATTGCCTGTCATGCTGGAGAACTTTTATTCACAACTCTCCTAGTTAGTTGAAAGAGAAGTTCATTTTATATTTCACTCATCAAAAAGGATGCATTTCAATAACACGTCAATATTAATCCATCTAATGTGTTATACATTTCTCAAAACAAATGCAAGATAACGCTTCTATTTAACCGATTGTTTTGTCCCGTTTTCGATAGAAGTTCTAACAGGCATCAAACTGACCAGTATTAAAACCTTTTGTAGTGTTTTCTGAATTGTCTTAGAGGATTTTTCTACGCTGGTTAAAAAACATCCAGAATGACGGATCCTACGCTGGAAGTCCTGTGCTTATATCATTTACATCATTTTGAGCAGAATTGCAACTACTTCGACCGTCTACAAACGACACTTGAACGAAATCAAGAAACGTTAGAGACGTCTTCATGCTCACTTTTGATGTTACTGTCACTCGTCCACTAGAATGTATTTTTGATTCAAGTCGGGATAACCTGTTACATGACCTAGAGTAGTATTGCAGTTGTACTTTTAAGGTTACTTATTTCGCCTAAGATGATACTCATTGTTAGTTGTGACATACCAATCAAAATATCTAATAATTTGCACTTGAGTAAAATCTTTTAGAATATGATACATTATCAACATTCGTATAATGAGCCGATTAACAGGATTTCATCAGGAGAATAAGAAACTTACACCTATCGCTGTCTATTAGGCCTATCGATTAGTGTCTCTTGAATAGGCACAGTTCTTGTTCATTAGCAGTCAAAGACGTCGAAGCTTTTTTTTATTTCCGACGAAAGTTAGACTCTATTCATGATCGAAGTCCCTAATAGAAAACATATTTCTAAATATACTATATTTCCGAATCAGAAAGAAATAACACTAAGAATAGGCACAGAGTTACGTGTAAAAAAAAACAGTAAAATGAAGCATAGCAAACTACACATTATCTATTTAGTGAAAGAAAACGATAGTGGTCACGAACAAGTATTAACTGCTATGAATACAATGTCATTAATACCAAAACCATCGGGTACAGGTACACTCAGTAAGTAATCAATGCATTATTATCTCAGAAGCCAAAATGAGGGTGCTGTGTTTTCATAAAATATATGATCTACATGGATATTCGAGCTTTACACTTCTAAGACAAAGTCTATGTGGAACCACACTATAGATTCTATTCTTTCTGTAGCAGATTGATATCTATTCTTTGCTCCGGCTTTCTGTTGGGAATTATAATTGTGCATAGGTCTTGCTAGCATCTTCAGACTATACTATGATTCAATGAATTCATTGAATATCCATCAAACTCATCATATCTGTTTGTATGTTCTTGCTCAGTTTTTTCTGACTCTACTGAGATTTTACCTTGAGCTGTCGTCCTTTCATACTAATCGTGTGGAATTGAGTCTCTGATCAATAGATAAACAAAATGCGAATCCCATAGTGTTTATCACACTAGTTGACTGATCTTTCAGGTACGTTGAAAGCTCCTTATCATTGTTTTTAGAGATCAGTCAGTCCGTTACACCCGTTGTTTTCGAAAAGACTACATGGAGAATGTCATTACCTGAAAGGTATCCTAGTGAATGTACTGAGATCCAGGTACCCATTAGAGTACCCTACTACCAGTATGTAACAGAAACTTAAGGGTACTGAAGTACCGCGTTAAGGTACTTTCTAGACTTTTTGAATCCGACTTCAAAATACTTCCAAGAGTTCAATCTATCAACTTTTTCAGAAATTTTCTATGAATTCTATCTGAGAAGTACCCGATCAGTGTCTGGATACTGAGGCAACTGTGAGAAGGTGCCGGTCAAGTTGGTACTACATAGCAATAGCAAGTTACTTTTCATGAGTGCTCTGCTGAAAACTCAGTATATGAGTATTTTGAATTCAGCACATTCACTAGAGACGTGATCGACTTTCAATAATTACCAAAGATTGAAATTATTGAAATTATTCAATTATTCGAACACTACCATTTATCTATTATTATTATCGAAATTATGGAATTATTAAATTTATTACAATTAATGAAAATATTGAACTTATTGCGCATATTGCAATTTTTGAAAATATTGCAACCATTGCAATCATTGAACTATTGAAACTGTTGAAAATATTGAAATTATTGAGTTATTGAAATTTTCCAAGAAATAACGGCTTATTAGAGATGTTACATTTCTTCAGGTTACCCCATCATTGAAACTCTTCTAATACCCGTGGGTGACAGTAAGACTCCTGATGAAGATAGTTATAAGAGCGTGCTCGAATCCCCTCCCTTCACCATGACTCACCCTCATTCGTAGCCCCATGCCAGATTTCGAGAATTGCAATATTTCAATAATTCCAATAGTTTGATGATTTCAATAGTTCAACAATTTTGGTAATTTCAAGTATTTCATGAAGTCAGGAGATGAAGAACTGTAACGCTTGTTATCTGTTCCATAATTCCAATAATTTGACTAGTTGGTAATTATTGAAAGTCGTTAACTACTGACAGATTGCATGAGTATGCATAGCAACAGTAATATTTCAAGATGAAGAAGAAATAAAAATTGTCAAAATTCATCAACTTTTTTCTTGAACAGACACAATAATTATTGGTTGATTTTATTGATAACAACTAATTAGATCGCTCTAAAAAATTGATTAATTCGTCTAGACTTTGTTGCGATAGATCAGATATTGACTCTGGATCATGCGATGCTGTTTGCGATCTTTACCATGATCCATTTCTTTCAAACAAAACCTCGCAATGAAATGGCGTTAAAGTGGTAGTATCAAATATAAATATGAATATGAAATGGCGTCATTTCTGTTGCGGTGAAGAATGTTTCAAAAAAGGAGATCACGACTTACGATGACAGAACGGTAAATGAAACCGACAACTGTTTATAGTCGTTTAGGACTGTAATATGACTGTTTTTCAGTCGTTTCACACCTTTTCATATCATGTATCCATCGACTTAGGATTTTAATACCTTTGGACGTGAATACGAGAGAGAGAAACAACCCTAAGAAAGATGTTTAATTAGAGAAAAACGTAAAGTTAAGGCTAACAACGAATGAGATAAACTTCATTGAACAACAAGAATTAGTTCGCTACAGTAGAGAATTCTTCGTTTACAAAGAATTACTCATATTTGATATTTCGCATGTTCTTCCATTAAAACATATAGTAACTTTTAGATCAAACCTGAACCCATTGTTATCATATATATGATTATATGTCACTTTTTTCTTCGAGATCGACATTTTATCGAATTAGAATCAGATGAAAATAGGGTCATTTTAATCGAGTCATGCTCATTAAAGAAATTCGATTGAATTAATAGTACTATTACTCGAAGTATGAGTGTAGAAGTAAACTTTTTCTGAGTTCAGTGATGAAAAGCAAAAAAGAGTGTTTATCCTCTCACTCTGGAGACCGACTTTTTTAAAACGATATTGTCAGGAGTAGTTGTAACCTGAAAATTATGAGTTGTATTATTTGTCACGCTTGCTCTTATTTGTACAGACTCGATCAATGAACTTTTTGATAGAAAAAGTAACAAAATATACAACAAATCTAACTTCAAGATCTTCAAGGAGTTCACGCCTCCTATGCCAATAGTGAAGTCGTGTAAATACGGCCATGGTTCTCAAAGGGTTAACGATCCAGCTTTTAGAGATAAATAGAAAAAGAACAAAGTGATCTCATTTCGAAACATATTGAAGTTTCCGACGTAATTTTTCCATCTCTTCTTTTACACTTGATGACACTTTGACAAGAATTTTCCAGACTCCACAACGATCTCCTGACCAGTTAGTACAGATTCGTGAAGAAATACCGTCGTTCTTCTTTATTCTCTCTCTTAAATCAAATTACTTCTTCGTCGACGACGAGATATACGAGTGTTTTTCTTCTATTGCAGCTCTTTCATCTAAGACCAGATGGAGAAAGAATGGAATCACCATCGCTGGAGATCATGGACGGGGAAAAACAGCCAATCAACTCGAGTGTCCTTTTGGTATCTATGTAGATGAGGATCAAACAGTCGTTATCGCTGATTGCGGAAATGACCGTATTGTAGAATGGAAGAAGGATGACACGAATGGAAGAGTAGTGGCTGGTGGAAATGGAAGAGGAAACCGAACGGACCAGTTGAATCAACCAACAGATGTAATTGTCGACAAAGAAACAGACAGTCTCATTATCTGCGATCGAGACAATAGACGGGTGATGCGATGGTCTCGTCAAAGTGGAACGACAAATGGAGAAATTCTCATCGACAATATCACTTGTTGTGGATTGACGATGGACAATGCGAGAAATCTCTACATCACTGACATCAAGAAACATGAAGTGAGAAGATACCGAATGGGAGAAACGATGGGAACAGTTGTTGTCGGTGGAAATGGACAAGGTGATCGTCTTAATCAACTTAACTGTCCCACCTACGTATTTGTTGACGAAGATTATTCTATATATGTGTCGGACTACAACAATCATCGTGTGATGAAGTGGGCGAAAGATGCAAAAGAAGGAATTATCGTGGCGGGTGGTCGAGGTCAAGGGAATGATCGGACACAATTGTCCTATCCTAACGGAGTATTCGTGGACGCGTTGAGCACAGTCTATGTGGTTGAAGGGGGAAATGATCGAGTGATGCGTTGGGATCAAGAAATGAAAAAGGGCGAGTTGATTGTGGGTGGAAAGGGGGAGGGAGGACAAGTGAACCAGTTGAATGGCCCTGCAGGTCTGTCATTCGATCGACATGGCAATCTTTATGTCGCTGATTGTGTTAATCATCGAGTTCAACGCTTCTCTATTGAAAACAGTTGACACTGTTTGTTCCTTGCGTTTCTCTCTTGCTTTACAACGATAAACATGTCAGAGTTGAATCTTCAATTCTGAAGTCAACTAGTTCATATTAAAGGGTGTGGATGGGGGCGTGCGTGGGTATGTATGAGTGTGGGTGCGGGTATGCATATGACACTTCTTTTCACTGACTTCCACACCCACAATCCACCCACATCCTGAATTTTAGCTTTGCTATTATAAATAGTCGTTATATTGAATAGTAGTGGATTTAGCTCTTATTACTGTGAGAAGTAATGTTAGTTCTTCAAAATTTGACATTCGACAAAGCAATGGAACAATTTGATTTTTCTAAAAAAAATGTATGACAATATGATTCTAATGAAAAATACTTCTGTTTAGAAAGTTTCTGCTATAAAAAAGAAGAATAAATTTTTAATTTAACTCTTTTGTTCTAATATATAAATTAATTTAACTTACTGCATGATCTAAATTCGATGATGCATCGAAAACATTAATTTTATTGATAATCAACGTGGACAAAGATCTCAAACATCCATTAAGAAAATAAATACAATCGTCGAATCTATTCATAAATATGTTTAATTTAGTGAAAGTTGAGGATACACAACTTGTTCACGTTATATTATAAATTGAAAACCTTTAGACTTTGATCACTAAATCATTCGCTAAAGGTTAAATCATCTAGATTTTTACATATAGATAACTTCAATGAAAATATATTTGGTTTATTTTCAACATAAAAATCTGATTTTATTTTATCATTAATGTAAATATTAAGAGATGCAAACAAAAATCGTTGTTAAATGTTTTACAACACAAGAGTTTTGTTAATTTAAATATTATACATATTAAATATCGAAATATTATTTCTTTTAAAAACATAATGAGTAAAGTTGAGCATCATCAACAACATGAAAGATATGTTCCATGGAAAGTGGTTCAGTGGTAAGTTGTTTCATTTTATCATTGAGTCAAGGTAAGTTTCTTTTCGAAAATTCGATCGAAAATTTGATTATCGATTGGAAAATATATCATCAAACAATGGTTTTCTTCTTAAATCAATTCATACCGATCATGTAATAAATTTCATAGCTTGTTCTATATATAAATGCACATGTTGATAATTCACCTTTCATTGCCATCTATAAGACTAAGGACATTGCTCTATTAGTTAACGACATGAACAGCTAATACTTTTTATTGTTCTATCGATTAGTATAAAAAGTAAAAATAAACTGTCAACTTTTTTCACAAACAGTCTCAGGGTTTTATTATTTTTTAAATTAAATTAAAAAAATATCAATAATAAAAATATATTATCAGAAGCGTAACTTACAAAGAATGTGGTGCCCATTTGCTCACAGAATAGAGTCCTGCCATGAGACTCAACCTCTTTTTTTTCAGTCACATTTCACACATACGTCACATCCAACTCGCATACTCACATTCCACACCTATACTCCTTCTGTAAGTTGGTGGAAAAAGTAAAAATTATGAGTGTAATCTATTTGTCGAACAGAATTGGCATTTAAGAAGATTCGGTATATTCATATTATTCTGTTCACAAAAATAAAGAACAGACATAAGAAACTGTTTCCTTTATATTCATCTGAGTTTTGACTTCAAAAATCATTATGTTACAAAAAGAATTCTGAAAAACAGTTTAGCTGCTAAATAGTGTTTAGTACAATAGCTAATCTTTCACTATATTCCGACTTAAATGTAAAAGTCGAAATCAAGAGTATGCTATTCGAAGTTTCAGCGACTACAATCAAGATTTAATCGAATATGTATTGTCAGCTAATCAAGTATAAGAAACTTTTTTAACGATAGTAGCAATTCAGGCATATTCAGAATTTTTTCTTTGATGGTGCCTGAAAATCATAAGAAGCTAATTCGAATGAAACCGACATTGAAAGTAAATCTCGGAGGATTTAACTGAAAATTATCATAATCATATAATGAAGTAAGTTGATATTTTTATCATAAAAAAAGGAAATTGTTCATGCATCATTTGCATTCATAAGATATGGAAACGAATGAAGCTCATTTAGATCGATGATGAAATTATAGTCGATATTTATTCTAAATTCTTTTTCCTGTTCGTAAATAATTAATCATAATGACCATTCCATTTCGATTATTGGTTTTTGAAACATATTTTCAAAGGATCTGCTAAACTCGAAAAAGTTCATCTTTGGTGAAATAATATCTTGTTTTTTTCCACTTTTCAATGATGCAGGTATCTTGTTTTGAGAAAAATCAGATTTTTCAGTTTTAAAAGACAGATCTCATTTGATTTTATCTTTTTATCAATTGAAATCTATCACCTGTAATATTTTAATAATCGCTTAAAATATGTTATAAAAAAATAAATCAAATGATATCTGTCTTGTAAGACTGAAAAATCTGATTATAATCAGATTAAGATCGTCCACTCGAGACGAACATATTTTCGTTCCGTTCACCTCGAAATGGGTAGTACCATTTTAATCGGCTTTGACCTTTTTATAACTGTTTTCTTCTTTTTGTTCAAGTCCTACTACTATCTGCAATCTTGATAATTATATCGTCTATTTCTCATTCAACAGAGTCTCTCTGAAAATTTAGAACTTTTATATTTATATATCGATAATTTCAGCAAATGAAACAATGCAGATTTTTCTTCATATTTGTTTTATCGGTAAGTATACATTTTCAAACTTCAGCAATAATAAAATCGATTGACAATAATATGAACAAATTTTATCTTGTATATTATAGAATAAGTATTCATTTCTGCATTCTAGATATGGCTTGTTACATCGACGAAAATATTATCTGTCATTACTTGGATTCAAACTATATTTCAGAGTAATTCTTTCTTTCTGATTCAATGATAAACAACATTGGTTATTCGTAATATACTAAAGATGCAAATTCAATTTGAGATAAATAATAATAGCACGACATAGATTATTTTTTTTCATCGCAAATACTGCACAATCGAATTTTCTTTTGTAATGAATTCATATCTGTCCTATGATTTATTTCGTTTACTTCTCTTGAGGCTATTATCTGTATTCATTGTTTTTATACTTGCAAAGATCTACATAAACAAACTTTGTCCGTCATTTGCTGAAAATCGAAAAAAAGTTTTCAAAGAAAACTTCTGAATGAAAATATTTCTGTTGAATCTGATGCTTTTTTTCAACGACAGTGCTCGGTGTTGATTAATTAATCGGATTCTCTATATCGCCTACTAAAGCTTTTTTCAATAGCTAAAAGAGAATAAAAGAAGAAAACAGCTTAGTTTCATCAGATCTCTAAAGATTATGACATTCATTTGTTTTCAACATTAATATCTTCAGCTAGTGTCTCGACAACACATATGTTGATTATTTAGCTAGAATGAAAGTATTGTTTTTAAGGAAAAAAGAACATACTTTCAATGCATATAAAAGAGAAAGCAGCGTAAATTACAATTTTCTCTTCTTCTAGAATCGAGAAAATAAAATAAGAGTGTTCTCTTCTTTCATAAGTTTCTTGCGCTCATATAACTTATACCCTCAAAGAAGTCTTTTAGTATCTATTGGCTACGACTATACTTAGCGCACTAGTATGCTTTGAATAGATATTAAAGATGTCAACTTTGCCGACACCGATTCTTCAAGTTATTCAGAATCAACTCATTCGTTATGTATCATTAACATTACTTGTCACCGGCACAATAGGTAATATTCTTAATTGTTTTATTTTTACACGTCGTTCTCTTCGATGTAATTCATGTTCGCTCTACTTTTTGGCAACGAGTATTGCTAATTTAATAGCACTCTATTTTGGTTTTATGACACGTTTATTAATCACTTTTGGTATCTATTTAACACCATCTCAATCGGATATCTATTGCAAAACTCGCACATTTTTTACCTATATGCCTCTATCAGTATCAGCATGGTTTGTAGTAGCAGCATGTGCTGATCGATTTGCATCAAGTTCGTCAAGTGTTCGAATACGTTCATTTAGTCAAACTAAAGTTTCTCAACGAGTTATTTGTAGTATCCTTTTTATTCTATGCCTTATTTGGGCTGAAATGTTCGTTTGTTTTAATGGAAATGCCAATGGTACAACTTGTTATCCAGCAACACCGTTTTGTAATACATTCAATAATTTTAATCTACTAATTTTTTATAGTCTTCTTCCATCTATATTCATGTTTACACTTGGTTGGATGACTATTCGAAATGTACGTCATCGACCGTTTTATCGTCGATCGACTTTAAAAGATCGTCAACTTACTATAATGCTGATTGTTCAAGTTTTTTGTGTCGCATTTTTATCACTGCCAGTTTCTATTCAAAAACTTTATGCACAATTTACTGTTAATCAAATGAAAAGTTCAGAACGTATGCAAACAGAAAATTTTCTTGCTACCATTGTCAATCTTATTGGTTTGAGTAATGCATCAACATCATTTTACATGTTTACATTGTCGAGTCGAGTATTTCGAAAACAGTTAAAATCTTTATTATTCTTTTCAAGTCGACGACAAGCAGTTGTTGAACCTATTCAACCAATGATGCGAATGACAAAAAATAGAATTTGTTATTTTCAACAACAAGAAGCAAAAACAAGATTTTAAAGAAAAAATAAAAGCGATTTTCCAAATTGTATCAATAGACTATTGAGATGAACATCTTCGATTGAAAAGGCCACATAGAGGATCGATAAAGAGCTCGATGAACACTATTAGTTATATCATGAGTGGAGCTCTCAAAAACTCTAAATCTCACTAATGAATCTCAATTTTGACTACAATCCGAAAACTATTCACTCTTACAATGTATACGTTCACTCTCCCAGTGATGCAAATGAATTCTACAACCATGGTATTGGTAATTATGATTGGCTGCATTACCATTAACAATCTTTAAGCTTGATGTAAACAAAGATTAAAAAATGCTCTTACACAAATAAATATCTCATTTTTATAATATTGTAAATATCATACGATTTTTATTAAGAAGAAACATCTAAGGTTGATTAGTTTCAGTATAAGATTCTAAAGCTGCTTATGATATTTGTTAGAAAAACTTGTCATATGTGGTTTTAGTGAATTCAATACCCACATCTTCTAGATCCGAGCTCAATCAACAACAAAATCTGCTTGTCTTTAATCAGAGAAATCCATCTGAAAAGATTTTGCTTTATTCTAATCCATCTTTCAATTAAACTCAAAGAAAAGTGTTAATGAGAAATTCAGAGTAATAAATATGTCATTTCATTGTACCTTATATAAGGAAAACATTTCCTTAAAATCAAGTCCGATCGCTACGACTTTGACAAAGTGCAGACGATAAACTACATAATAGCCATTTTTCAATCTAATTTGCACTCTTCATTGAGATCTTATAGAATGACTCTTATTACATAGGTTTTTTTGTTTACCGTAAATATTTTATTCAAAATGAATACGATGATCAAAGAGTTCGAATCAATCGTTGAATTTTGTGAGAACAATATCTTCAAAAACATCAATATTTCATCTCATTTTAAAAAAATGAATTTCAACATACATCATCACCCTCTTCTAACTATTCTGAAATTTTCTTCACAAAAACTTCAACGAAATGAAAAACTAACACAGAATTCGTAATCTGCATCGAAAACTACATCCAGATATGTATAATTCTTCCAAAAACATGAATTGCGGTAAATTTGCCTTGCACGCATCTTACATTTTATGAAAAACCATCCAAATCATCGATTGTTATCCACTATTAGAGATTTCAATGCGATACTTCAGTAGAAAAAGTTAAGTTTTTGCCAATTAATTGTAAAGACAGTAATAAAATGGGGAAGTTTCCCATTAGTTGGCTGATTTATTTTTAAGATAATAAAAGACGTATGAAAACTGAAAATATCATTAGATAAAGTATCTGAGGAGAAAGCAATGCTTCGTCTTCTTGAGATAAACTTTTTGTTGGAGATAAAAGTTCAACGATATACGATTTTCATCAAAATATGGTACGCAACTCTCAATTTAAATGATGTTAATTTATGACTATATTGATTTTTCGAGTTTTGTAGAGAAAGAAGAAAATGTTAAGAGCAATAGAATAACCATTTATACAAGAAAAAAAATTATGATCAATTCAGAGCATTTGATTCGAATATAATGTTTGGAATTGTGAATAATGCCATGATGTGTATCTGATCTACAGAGAACTTGATGAATTCGATTTGCAAAATGAAAGTTATTCTTTTGAAATAATTGTCCATGGAAATTTTCTATGACGAATGTCATTGTATTCGGAAAAAGTCTAACATTGGATTTGTAGATTCATTGTCTTCATATTTTGATATTTTTTTTTCAAATAAAAGTTTTCTTGCTTTCAACAAAAATCAAAAAGAAATCTTTTTTTTTTATTTGCATTGTTTTATCATCAAACTATCAGTGATCAATTTTTTATATTCGACCATGAACGTGCCAATGTTGTTTTTTTTTTTCTTATTTTTGATGGGCATGCCGTGTTATCTTCAGGGAAAGTAATAATACGTAAAATTTTCAAATTACAGTTCGTTTCTATAATTAAACATTTCAAATTTATCAAATTTTGTACCAATCATTTGTATTAAAAGATATGTCAAATTAGAACAAATTACTTGCAATATAATTTCATTGTCTGAATGACTTTCAGATAAGTTCATCAAATTTAAATGATAAAGTTGAGGTGTATAAGATATTTAAGTACGAAGTTCATTAAAAGTACAATGATAATTAATAACAAGATATCCGATAGTACTGAATTGTTCATTGGTAAACAATAGGCAGCTGAGATGGATATGACAGTTGCTTCTGCTGAATATATTTAATATATTTCAATTTTGATAAAGCGAAAATTAATCGATGAAATTCACTTGATTCACTTAACATCTGCCGCGTATCGATAATTAATGAGAACAGATGAGGTAAAAACAATAAATTAGTAACAAGTGAAATAAGTATAGTTGGTGAAAGTTCATCAATAACAATACATTCAATAAGATTCAATGATGAATCGATTGAAAATGACAAAAAAACTTCACTTTTTTTGTGATGCTAACGATATATGAAATGAAAGTATTTGATTGGCGATTGAAACGCGATAAGAACATATCCACATAAATTCAAACCTCTTACAACTGTACCCACATCCTTGCCATTGAATTTATTTTAAGTCGTTGTTATTCGAGTAAATCAAAGATTGAAAAACGATCATAACCATGCTTAAAATGATGGCATAAACTTAATGTTAAATCATTGTATTAAAAGCCAACCGCTTGTTGTTCTTTTGGTCATTTTTCTTCTATCAAGGTTCGCAATTTGGAGAAAAATTCAATGTTTAAGATAACTTTGAGGTCATATCGAATTTCCAATTATAGAAGGATTATACCATCAGCGTCATAGCTTCTGACGCAGGAGAAAAACAGTACAATTCATCAGATATAAAGATGAGTACTGTCACTTGTCTGCCTCATTCCAACACAATCGATGGTATCAAAAAGCACCTATCATTTCGTATTCATTTTGCTCAGGTGATTATAAAATTTATTATTTTCCTAATCATCTAACGTCGAAAAATCTTTCTTTTAAGCCGTACAGGTTTGATTTTTATTTGGTTCTATATCTCTCGCTATTAATTTATTATGTCGATAGTTTGAGTCAAATCACAAATATACCATGGGATGTCTCAATATAATCGATGTTCGTCGAATAAAGCGTGTGCTTGCTTTCATATGACAGATGTTGATGACATTGACATTTGCGGCTTTCAATGAATAGATTGTTCTCAATTAGTTACATGCAAAGATCCAAATAACAATTGTCATGAATCTAACCAAATCTGTGTTCATCATACTCGATGTAACAGTCTTCCTATTTGTTATCCAATGTCGATGATCGAATAACGAATCTGTCCGCCCATAGCAAGTAGAAAAACAAAGAGTGATGTAGGGATTCAATTAGAACTGAAATCTTACTTAAAATGGTCTCCTCGCCATTTCCGAGCTTTAGGCATATACGATCCATGTTAACGTAGAAATGGTGAGAAAGAGCTCATGAATCCTTTGAGAAAAGTAGATAAAGCATGACCGAAACAAAATGAATGATAATCATTGGGGAAAAGCTCTGAACTCTGCGCATGAAACATTTCCATGAGTCTGAAATGCAGAGTACGTTACAGTTATATCTAGGAATACATGTGGACACAGCGAATGTTTGGATTTGTATTAGGGGTAGAGAGAAGAGAATGCGGTTGTAGGTGTCCTTCTTTTGTTGTTTTTCTGTTGGCAACTACAGTCATACATCAACATAAGTGCATGTCCACACCTTCTCCTTGTGTTCGATAGAAAATTTTGCTGCTTTAAAGTTATAAATTCAGAGCTCACAGAATGCAACCACTGTTGTGAAAACTTACGGACTCGAAGTTTCATATCATTTTTGATGTCAGAAGTAAAAGTATCTGATTTATTTTCACAAAAGTTCTTTGCTAATGGATAGGTATGACCACAACAACATCACTACTACTAGACAGCGAAATAAGCTTCTGACTCATGCTTATTGACCTGAATAAATAATCATTTTTAATCAGATATATGTAATTACTTTGTAGATTGCGTCATTCTACAACTGGCTAAAATTTACTTCAATAAAATTAGCCATCTAATGTCACTAGTTATACTGTTTTTAGCGTAAGCAACACTGAAATTATATTAGTCACAATACTGGATATTTTTCTTCACTATTGAGCTTTGTTTCAATTACTTGGCATCTATGAGACAAGATCTGTGCTACCTATTTATTTGACACGCCTACACAAGTTGCCTTGGAGTGTGAATGTTTCTTTAATTCAACCGAACTCGCATACATCCATAAGCAGAGTTCGAGGTGTTCACCGTGCAGAACTATGCTTGTGCCTTTGGATGGCATTTTTAATAATTAATAATCAATAATTTCTCGAGCGCGATTACTCTAGTGTCAAGTTCTAGGAAATATCATAAATTTTAATAAGTTGTATGGATATTTTATCGAATATCTAAATGTCTGATTTTTGTATGTTAAATCTGTAATAAGATCTTGAGTTTGACATGCATGCAAGATATCTCTGTGAAACTTCAGACTAAGTTCTTCTCTTATTCTATCGAAATTTACATAGATTCAGAATGGGTTTCTTAGTTTGTGAAATCTTCGTATTGAGAAAACTGCAAATAGGATACTTGAACTTTTGGATTGGATTTTATTTTCAGAAAAAGAACTGAACACAAACATGAACGAGTCTTGATCAAACTTCAGTTGAAGTATGGATTCGCTTGCAAACAAGACTCTGAAAGAGTTTTTTAGACTAATCGTCGACTTCATAGGACTGGGAGTGTGAAAGTATTATATAACTATTACGTGATCAAGTTCAAAAATGTTTCGCAGCTTGTATGCATAGGAAAAATCTTAGTTGTTCTGAAAACACGAGCAACAAACGCTCTGATCTATTTACTATTTTCTTAAAGGCTTTTCAAGCTTTCTTGCGTAGGTGACTGCATCGTTTCTCTCGTTTCTTTGTGAGTGAGACCAGTACCTGTTGTTATTTTTAGTTCCTTGTAGTCTAA